TGGGGTTTTCCAGTTTGTGCATACTTATTACTAATAAGATTCGACGGGCATACAATATCTGAAAGCAAGTTGTTTGGACACTAATTCTGCACTTAACATATTACAAGCTGCCACTCATTTACATCAAGTCGTAAATCTGACAGACATTGTAAGACTCACTGTTTGATTACTCGCGTGAATTTTCAATAATTATCCTCCAATATTTCTTGTGTGAACACATTGCAACTAACTATCCTATCATTAAACTTCAGTGTAAGACAACGTAGCACCTTGCACAAAAGTGCGTCGGTCCACGTTGCTACACTTCACAGTAGCATGTAAAGAACAAGTGGACAGAGAAGGATTGATGCCACAGTAGACAAAAGTGTATGAAAGGTGAAAGAATTTGAAAAATGAAGGTTATTAAAAGTATTTCAGCTTTTCAAGATATCAGAGAGTGAATACATCTTCGCCATTGTGAACGACTTTGGGCTATCACACCAAGTCTCCAGTCAGTGATTCCTGTTATCTTCAGGACCCCAGGTGTCTAGTCTACACCTCCCCACACGGCTCAAGCCAACAGAGAGAGACTTCCTGGAGTGGTATCACATCTTGATCTGGTAACCCTGAGCCTCTTCCAATCCAGTCCTACTTCAAGTAACATTTCTCGTCGAGGTAGGTGGTGACTTCGCATGCGCAACACATATCCAAGCTACCTCAGTTGACGAAAGTACACAACTCTATCGATTGATTTACTTTCCTTGTTAAGTACTCTTCGCCTATCCCCTACATTGCTCACATGGTGATTCCACTATAATGTGATCAATGCTGCAGATACACTTTTTATTTGGCTTAAGAGTGACGGTGACTGTGTGTACTTTTCACTCTGTTAGGCAGTAAACAAGTAGATCTGTTTACTAAATTTCATTTTTTTACACAAATTCCTTATATGCTACATGCCAAGTGATTCACAATGGAAAGCTCAGTAGTGCATTTTAAGTGAAGACAGGGGACAGGAGTAAGACAAGGTTGCTGCCTACTATCACCGATGATCTTCCTGATTGTGGTGGACTGGACTGGATCATACAGGAAACTGTGAGGAGTGAAAAGATGGGCATACGCTGGACTGATGAAAAGACCCTAGAAGATTTGGATTTAACCGATGATTTATGTCTAATGTCTTGTCGCACAAACTTAAAGATCTACAGGCGAAAACTAACAAGTTGGCAGAAGAGACGAGGCGATGCAGCGAAGACGGGAGTTCAGGTAAAGGTAGAGAAGACAGGTGATAAAGATACTAAAACGACAACAAGAACCAATCACCATTAACGGGAGAGATCTAAAGGTAGTAGTCTGTTTCAACTACCTAGGCAGGGCAGCATCGTTTCGACTACAGGTGGTGGCGGTGGCACAGATGAGGACGTCAGAGCCATGATCGGAAAGACAGCAAGATAGGCCTTCATTAACCTGAAATCAGTGTGGAGATCTACTGCACTGCACTCAGCATAAAGTGTGAACCAGATCCGGATTTTGAACACTAATGTCAGTCAAGTAACTCAGTGCTTCTATGTGATGATTGAGAGACTTGGTGCATCACGAAAAGCATTTCCTACGGATTGCAGACATAGATCACCAACAGCTGCCTCCTACGCTCACTGGATACTGAATATGGAGATCAGATGGCCAGAATAGTCAGAATAAGCAACCAGGAACTCTGGGAACGAACCGACCAAGAACCTATCACCCAGAAATATTCAGTGGATGAAAGTGGAGATGGATTATATTGGACATACAATGGGAAGACGGTTTGGGGACATCACGCGCCAGGCCAGGCCAAGTCATTGAGTGGAACCTGGATGGGAAACGACGAGTTGGGCATGTGGGCCGAGGGTGACATGGAGGAGATCGAGATGGTGTGAGGAAGAAATGGAAGCTGGTGGGCAGTTGTGGAGTCAGGTTGAAAAGACTGGAGAGAAGAGAGTGAAGTGGCTATGTGCTACTGAAGCCTAGTAACCCAAGGGACAAATAATAATAATAATAATAATAATAATAATGATAAATAATTGTGATATTTAAAAGGGAAAAAGCATTTCGCCTTTCTGTGAAGTAGGGATATACTGTCGTACGTGATTAGTCAAGAAAGTTGAGCTAAAGTCTGGTTCATAACAAGGATCCAAAGCACTATCCTCCTACTATCGCTCAGGTTTCGATTTCAATTCCGATCATCTGCCCTAGGAAGTCTCAGATAATGTAGTCAGCAATCAGTTAGTTACTTTATCTTTTATCAGTTGGATTTTTTTGAAAAGAAAGGAGTTGGCTGGACAACTAATATGGTAACTATGGACATACAGTCACTTACTACTAGATAAAACTCTCGATGAATGAAGTTGAATTGAGAATCTCTGGTTTAGCGAACCCCATGGTGATTAATTAAGCTGATACAGGGTTATGTGAAGTTCTATACTGTTCTGTTTATTTAGCTGTGATATGGTTATCATTTTATGAAATATCGAGAGCTATTATTCTAGTATTTTTTAAATGCACAACTGTGTAGACTAAGCCAGACAGATTAGCGTTTAGGCGACACCTTCAGAATTCCAGCTGGAAAAAACAGATCACGGCGATCGCCTGCTACAACTGTGCTCACTTAACCTTCTTTTCCTGACTGGTTGGCGCCATAGGTCACACAAGTTGGTAAATTCCAAACGGGCTTTCCGTGTGCGAGCTGGGATTTCGTCGGCAACCAACTCATTCGGGCTGATACAACTTCCTAAATAAATGAAATCGACACATTCCACCACTTCACTCCCTATCATTAAGTTGGGAGTACTTGGAGTAGACCACTCTTGGAGCATCATCTTACATTTAGCAGATGTGAGATGCATGCCAAATATACTCAGATTTTAGCTCAACGTCTTCAGAGGACCCTGAATTGCTCCAGCGTCTTCACCTTGCGGGAGGACATCGTCTTCTTCTTGAATAATAGATTCTCATGAATGCACTCCGACAGGCTCCGAGCACAATGAGAAACGAAAGCAACTCAGATGTAGGTTGATATTAAGAGTCCTTTCAGTGACCATGAACACTCACTTGTGAAGTCAGGTCAGCCGTGATAGGTGCGTGATCAGCAAAGTCTCCTTAGGAATACAAAAGGGTAACTTGGCTTTTACTTGTTTGCCATCTGTGGCGCCTCTGTGATATTCGACTGTCTGTCAAGATTCGAGTGTACGGCTCCACTACGTTCCACTGCATTACTGTGAAAAATCCTCATTAAAAATGAATGATTTCAGTAAGCTTTATGTGTTTGACTAGTGTTACTTTGGTGGCATAGTCTATGTCGTGGTGTCACCACGTTATCAATGTAGTAGTATTTAGGTATAGTCTTATAAGGAGAAGGAAAAGGTCGATCGATGAGGTTGTAAACCTTCATTGACTGAGAATGGCTGGGACATAAGTTACTCATGTTTAATCATCGTCTACCTCGTCGCATATTGTTAGCTGGATTAGGTTTAGGTTGATAAAAGGTTAGAGGTGACCAAACTAAAACACGACATCAGTCCATTAAGTCCTTCACTGTTTGTTTGAACTACGTAGGGGACGTAAACTTCCGATTTGGGATCTGTGTGAGAAGTAAAACCAGTGGTTGGAGACTCTAGGTGATATGTCATCATACTGGAACTCAGTATTATCTCGCTCCTCATTTTTTTTGATGGTTTTCTATCTCTTTTGATATGCTAATATGAGGTTTGGCATCTTAAACTGTTACACAGTAATGCCATGTCGTATGCTGATATTGTCTGTTCCACATTGAATTGTTTATTTGTTGTAGCACATAGTGATGCAGTACTGTGTTCTGTATCAGATTAAGAATCTAATATAAAGTTAAGCCATACCGCAGTTCCTAAGTTTTACTTTTACTTAAGCAATATTGTTTGTTTTTCTAGTCCTGCAGCACGTCCTAATAAGCTTTAGACTGTGGGAAATCTGTGTACGTTGAAAGTAATTTTTAGCACTTCATCATGATTTACATTTTGCAAAGAGCTCAGTATGCATCTTTTCATTTAGTTACGCTTTCTTTTTTTGATTTCCTCGCTTTTTTCACTGTTTATATTTCCGTTTTGATGTTTGGAAACAAAAGGCTATCAGAACTTATGTTAATCCTTTAGCAACAAATCTCTGCTTTTGTCTAGTCCACTCTTGAACAAATCACTCGATGATACAGATACTTTCTTACTTTAGTAGGTTCTAAGGTTAGGTCTGTATGAAGACAAGAAAAATGAATCAAAATGCTTTGAACACAAACTTGCACTGTCGTACAATAGATAATAAGCCGCGGCTTCAACACCAATATTCAGCTATGATATGTCTTGCCTTTAACTTTTGTACGTTTCTGCTATATTTTTTTTAAAGTGTTATGACTTTATGAGATAACAGATAAAAAAAGGTTGAAAACCAATAAATGTAATCGTGAACAACGAACTTATTCACAGCTTAGTTTATGATATGGCCTATGAAAGAAGCTAACATTGACAAGTTGTTCATGGTGAGTTAAATCAAATTCGAGGGATTATATGTGTGACTGTCCTCTGAATTCTCTTTAGTTAATCTATTTTGCCTTTGAAACAAAGGATTGCAGCATGCTAGTAGATTTAAAAAAACTAAATCTTGTTATCAGTCTAGTTCATGATGCTGTTGAATCCAATTTCAACTTTTGACATTTGGAAATATAGAATAAGTTTCTTTAACTTACATCTGAGTGTATAGACTTCCAGAGTTTACTGAAATGCATTCTTTAAAAGGTCTAGATATCCTATTGTTTTAGAATACTACCTGGAATACTTCAAATTGATGTACTCACATATTAAAGTTCAGTTTTTATCATCATTTTCTCTTTTATGTTCTCAATTGTGAAATCTTCTTAACTTTATCTAATAACAATTAAAGTTTAGTTTTATTCGTGCTTTTTATCAGTAGTATTTGGTGATATTTCTTAAGGTTATATATTTTTTATATTTATTTAGCTAGTATGCGTAAAGAAATTGACGTGTTAATCAAAGAGAATATGGACCTTGTTGAAACTAAGTGAGTTTTTCACATTTACTCTTTTCTCTATAAATTGCTCTAGCCTTATATTAACAATACTTAGTTTTTATATAGTCTGATAGAACTCAATTGATTTCATTTTTGCCAGTTTAACTGTTTTTCCAGATAAGCATATTTTGAGATTGATCAGAGTGCTCAGTTTAGAGTAATTTTTCAAATGATATATATAAACGTTGATGAATATTGTAGACTATAATCTACTTCTCATCCTGATTCATTATGTGACAATGAATATGTTCAACTGAGAGCAGTTGATCGATAACTAATCCTTCTAGGCTCTACCGTGGTCATGAGTTCCGTATTGATATGAAGTTCTGAACTAGGATTAAACAGACACTACGGTATTAAATATTTCAATCACTTATAAAAACTATCATGAAGGCAATGAGTTCCTTACTTTACTAATCTCACAGTTTAGAGAGAAGATTCAGAATGGATGAATAATGAGTATTATGAAATACATTAATCGAGAAATAGGATTTCGTTTTTTATCTATTTGGATTGGTATACTCTTACTGAATGAGGTTGGGAAATCAGTAGGACATTATGATAGTGTTATGTTATGTGAACTAGATTGTTTAGTCGTAAAGTTTTCATTATCATTCTCGGCAGTATCAATACAAAACTTGAGGAAGAAGAACATTTTGTCCAGATTTTGTTACGTGATTTTCCTTAAAACTGAATTCTGTTGTATCGATTGCATCCATTTTTTTGTTCTCTTAGTTTAGTGTATCTTTCTATCCTACGCCTAATTATTTATTGTTGCTGTTTCACCGACTTCCCTATTAACTATTTCTTTTCTGCTTCGGTGTATGGAAAATTGAATTAGATGAACAGTTCTTGTCTGTTGTAAACAACAGTTGTAATATCTATCCCCGGTTGTTATGAGAATATAATGCTCATTGTTTGATTTTGTATCTGAACAGTCTATGGGAGAATGAGTATTACTGCCCTATGGTCCGTTCTATCCTGTGAGACATGACCGTTAAAAGCTGAAGACGTGAGGGAATTACAGGATTTTGATCACAGATGTCTTCCCAGCATTCCTCGTGTTTCGTGGAATCATCATGTAAGCATTGTTGAAGTCAGGCTAAGACAGGCATGTCGATTGATGAGGTTGTGAACCTTAGTCGACTGAAATTGCTTGCACATATACTGCACATGCCAAGCTATCCTCCACCTGCTTCCACGTGTCATGTTGGGGGAAGTTGAATTAACTTGGAAGAGGGTTCATGGTGATGAGACTTAACGTGGCAACTATCGATGAAGTCCCTTACTGTTGGTCTGAGTCGTGTGGGGAGATGTAGACTGCTTGGTTGGGTTCCCCGAGGCGAAAGCTGTAAATGTTGAGGACTCTTGTTGATATAGCTGGAAACCGGTCACAACAGCGCAGATGTATTAACTCGTTCACCTCTTCTAAAGCTTGAATATTTGCATTGACCTGTCTTTGTATACTACTATGAAAAATGGCGACTTGAGCCGATGCAGCACCTGTGTGCGAGGTTCTACATTGATTTTGTCAGTCATTCACTATTTTTATGATGAGTTTACATTGAAGCTGCGTGCCTGCTGTCACTTCTTAATAGGACTTCTTTGCAATCCAGAAAATGACTAGAATTTTAGTTGTCAAACATTTGGACCACAGTGCCAAAAATCACAAAACATAGAATGTGGAGTTTTTTCTGCAAGTTCTCTGCAAATATTTTAGTATCATTGTAGATCACATTTTCGTGTCATATCGCTTGATTGTGATCGATAGTATATTTGATTGTAAACTTAAGTTAGTCCTGAGGACGTGACTATGTCGTCGATTATCCTTGGGTATCTTAAAATTGTCCATTGTCTTCCACTAATACGGAGAAGTTGACAGGAGAGGCAGCGAAGACGGGACTTCAAGTGAACGTAGAGAAGACAGAGATGATGAAGATACCCAACCAAAAACATCAACAACAGCAACAAACTTCAATCACCATCAACGGGAGAAACTTAAAGGAAGTAGCCTCCTTTACCTATCTAGGAAGCATCGTTTCAACTACAGGCGGCACAGACGAGGATGTCAAAGTCAGGATCGGAAAAGCAAGACAGGCATTCATTAGCCTGAAACCAGTGTGGAGATATTCTGCACTCAGCACAAAGAGCAAGATGCTGATTTTCAACACCAACGTCAAGTCAGTGCTCCTGTAGGGTTCAGAGACTTGGCGCATTACGAAAGGGATTTCCAACAAATTGCAGACATTCGTCAACAGCTGCCCACGCTGGCTCGTTACTGAAGATCAGATGGCCAGAATAATCAGAATAAGCAACAAGGAACTTTGGCTGGCTGTCAATGAACCAACCAAGAACCTATCGCTCACAACAAATATGCAGTGGAAGGAAGTGGAGATGGATTGAGCATACACTGAGAAGGCCGACTGGGGACCATCACGCGCTAGGTCAGTCAGTTACTCGAGTGGAACTCAGATGGGAAACGACGAGTTGTACGTTTGAGGTGAGGGTGATATGGAGGAGATCGTGCGAGGAAAAAATGAGAGCTTGTGGGCTGTCGTGGAGCCAGGTTCAAAAGATTTCAGAGAACAGAGCGCATTGTAGGCGTGCTACTGAAGCCCTATGTTCCATTAGCAACCCAAGGGACAAATAAATCATATAAATATAATACGGAGAAGTTAATAATACTTCAACTGGCCTTACCCTTTGAATACACTTTGTTCATTTGACGTACCCTCGGAGCATATTTGACGTAGTTTGTCTCTATTCGCTGACGTCATCCTGTTGTGTAAATCATATCCAACCTCATAAAGATGATTATTGATGGGAGTCTTTTTTATATTTACTTTTATGTAACCATTTATTTACAGTTAATGTTTTTAGCATGTACTGGTGTTGTTTTTATTGTTGCTGTTTACTCTATATCAGCTTTACCTCTACTCATGTTGTTGTTTTATGTCAATCATGATAAGCAATCACTCTTATAAAAAATAAAGTCATTGATCCAAGTTTAAAAAGAAAAGACAACTTTTGCAATTACTACGAAGGTGGTAAATTTCTTCATCTGTGAGTTTTTACCGGCTATCTAGGTTACACCAATTAGTCACTAGACAGTATTCCTTGGTATTCTGTATCGTCTGGACTATAAACTAATTCTAATCGATCAATTTAGTGGTCCAACCATTTAAGGGAGCTGACTCAATATTTGTTATTAGACCCAACTTTCAACCAGTTAGTTACGGGTTCGAATCTTGTTTTACTCACCGACGTTTATGTAACCGGGTAGTACTGTTATCCTTCACACATTAGACATAGTTGATTACTTAATATACTAAACTTTCGCGTGGTTGTTGAGTTATCTTTTGGCAACTTCGTTTACATGTTTGTTCTAACCAGTTAGCAAAATGTAGCCAAAATGATAATATTGAAGAGGGTCCAACATAAATCACAGTGTTTCTGAGTCAAAAAGAAAAAAACTGGATTCCCTACGATTGCACATATACGTTTTCACTTTTGAGCAAAAAATGGGTGCGACGATTAGGTTAGTTAGAATTCCCTTTCCCTCCTTCTCTAAGCATCCAGTGACTGTCGAGTGGACTTCTGATTTTGGAACATATAAGAACCAATAATGAATTAACTTATTTCGAAAAACCCAGTTGATGTCATTTTTTGAACTGTATGTTTTACTTGTGTAGTCCTGGAGTTGTATATTAGGAGAGGTAAAGTAAACAAATATTTTTTATTGTCTATTAACATTTTAATCTTGTTAGGAAGATTCTGATGTTGAGCTTGTTTAAGTGTTATTTTACTACTTGGCTGTCCAAACTTCGGTAGGTGGAGGGGAGTTTGAACTCGGGACCCATCGAGTTACAATCACTTGTCTAAACCAATGAGCCACAACTCCAAATGAATTTGTTAGGAATTGTGCAATGAATTGATATTCAATCGGTCGAATCAATTTCTTTCACTAAAAAGATGAGATTTATGAAAGGTAGATTTAAAGCACAAACTTAGTAAAACATGGGCACCGAAAAATATTGTGGCAAAATTTAGAAAAGGAAAAGTGATATTAAGAGAGGAAAAATGAAACAAGTGAAGAGTAACTAAATGCTAAGAGAAGAAGTCCTATGCGTTACGCTCAGAAGAGAAGAAAAAACTTCAGCATTAATGCAAACAGGTTCAGATGTGAGCTGTATCTGATTTCATTTCAAGCCGTTGAAATGCATCATCTAAACCGAATACATTAGGCACTAACTGGTATTAACTATGCCTCAACCTACAGTGTCAAATCAATCATACAATGACCACTATCCGCGTTTTCCAGCCAGTAAGCAACATAGCAGCGGCTGAAATGGACAAGCCATTGAAGCCTGTGTTTCAACATTACTTCACTCAATAAAAGGCTATCCTCACCACACCCGAATATACACCACCTCACCACAGGATTACACTCATCGTTTTTTTTTTACCGGACGCTAGTAATCCTAGAAAGACAACGGTGATCAAAAACAGAAACGTCTGACATACACAGCTCAGGGAAGCTACATTCCACAAACGTAGAGAAGAACTGTCCGCACCGATGAGTTGTACAGCCGACATATGATGACAAGGCTAACGTTTATAGGGTGCCAAAAGTGACTCATATTCGCACATATCACCTAACTTATCGAAAAGAGTTCCTAATACCATTGGTCGGCAAATATACGTTTGTATTTATCAAAAGCAGTAGTATGCATTGCTTTAGTGAAAATGTTTACAATAAACAGTGAATAAAAACTTAAGAAATTGAAAAACGCAACTACACTGTATAATGCAGTACAACCAAATCCATGGTAAGAATAATACAGTTGAACCACATTAGAGCTTTTGAAATCAAAATATTTATTTAAACTTCAATTTGTACTCTGATTGACACCACTTAGTATTTAACATCAAATTCTGTACAACTGGTAGATATGAGAAGATTGAAACAAGTCATCTGAGTCAATGTTATT